ATTCGAGGTGAATGTGTCTCTTTCAAATCATTTTGTACTTTCAATTCAAGAAAGCACTGAACTTATTTGTGGCACACCTGAATTTTCAGAACCACAAATCTTAGATTGTTGGAACCATTAAGTGAAATGAGGATTTCTTTCTGGATAATTATTATTATTTATTATTTATTATTATTAGGGACTAGGTCTTACTCTGTAGCCTAGCATGACTGGCTGTAACTCGTGACAGTCATCCTGTGTCAACATCCCACGTCCCGGGATAACATGCATGAGACACCCAGCAAATAATGGTTTCTTGACCCTAAAACATTACTGTGCTTTGAGTTGGCTGATTTGATATCCAACATGGCTACCAAGTGATCAGTGGTAGACAGCAGACAGCATAGATGAACAGTCATCTGCTGGGTTGGATAAGACAGAGTAAATCCAGATAACATAATATGTCATCATGGTACTCAGAAAGAAATGTGACTTAACATTTACAAACTGTTTCCTTCTGGAATGTTCTACATAATATTTTGGACCCATTACTGGCCACAAGAAACTTTAACTACTAACACTGGATAAAGTCACAGTAGAAAGGAAAATAATGTTTGGTTACTACTCTCACCTCTAAAACCTTTCAACTCTTCAACCAGTGTCTCAACAGCGCTCTTCTCTTCAAAGATACACCAGCCAACCTAACATTTCCAACCAAGGAAACTAGTGAGTGATAAAATTTTCATATGTCACAATACTTATTAAACCAGCTAACTTTCATCTATGTGAAAACCTATGTTAACAGGCACAAACAGATGATAGGCTTCAGATAACAAACATATATATCTATGGATATACATTATGTGACACCTATGAATATTCAGAAGGAAAATTATTGAGATGAATTCAAAATACTATAATTGAGCAGAGATTTGTGAACTGTACAGCCCCTACAATCAGACAATCAGAGCAGGCTCTGAAAGCATTCTCTACCCAGATAACTACACATCACTTACAGAAAACAAGTCCAGTGGCCACAGTGGAGTCAATCAGCAGGCAGTTGGTTAAAGCCTAACTAGTTAGTTGTTTACAGCTAAAGCCATTAGTTACCGACAAGGTTCAATTACTTTGATTACACTCTGTATGGGGTGGGTTGGTCTGTTATAAATAGTGCTAGAACCCAGTTCAAATCAATTGCTTTTTGCAATTTTGCTTTAAAAGTGTGTGTGTGTGTGTGTGTGTGTGTGTGTGTGTAAAACATGTAAGTAACATGCAAACTTTAATCTAGCATCATAGTACACATAAATAGGCAGCTTTTCCAAGGGGTTGAGGTGGGAAGACCCAGAGTTCACTGCCGGCCTCCACTTTGTAGGGCTCATCTCAAAACAAACTCATGGGAAAAATAAACAAACATTTAATCTCAAAGTAAAATCAAAGCTGTTGAAATTCAGGGCCTTTGATATCTACATTCAACAGCATTTTCCAAAGTCAAAAAGCCAAGCCTACAAGACATGCAACAAATGGCCAGTGGAATGGATACGTATACACAATACTGAGAAGGAGAACTAAGAAGATGATGAAGGACTGAGGAGGTGAGCCAGAAGCCAAGGGGAAATACTGAATGTGATCCATAGAGCCAAGACCCCTTGAAGGCCACAGGATTTTCAGCTGGTGGCCACAAGGCAGCCACAACTTCTATGCAGATACTCCCATCTCTCCTAGGTGTTTCACTATGTTATGCTAAATGTGAGTTAACTATATGAAAACACTGAAGAAAAAACTTAAACTATTACAATTTTGATTTAAGATATGCAATATCACAATTATTTGGAATGTTCCCAACAAAACACAGTAGCCAAGAGGCCACAGAACTATTCTTTTCTTAAAATAATGCTATTCCCCGAGTGTACTAATATATAATAAAAACGTGAGTTGGAAGAGGGAGATCAATTTTACTGTAAGTACTGTACTGTAAGTCCATCTTAAGTTACAATAAAATAATACCTGAGACTAGGTAGTTCTTGAAGAAAAGAGGTGTGTTTAGCTCCAGCTGTAGAGCCTGAAGCCTGAGTGCAGGCAGCCCTATCTGCTTATCAGGTAAGGGCTTGCTAGCTGCACCATAAAATACAAGTATCACAGCAGAAGACCACAAGAAATGGAGCAAGAGGCAAGCAGAGAAAGCCAAGCTTACTTTACAACAGTATTCTCTACTACCCATAGCCAACCCACCCCCATTAATCTTCTCTAATGACCTCATCATTTCTTAAAGGGACCACCTGCAACTCCGTTATATAGGGGCCAAGTTTCCAACCTAGGAATCTCTGTGGAAAAAAAAAAAGTAAACTATAACTCTCAGTTAATGATTCAACACCAATGGTTTGGTTTGTTAAAATGTAGGGGTTTTTTGGGTTTTTTGTTTTGTTTTGTTTTGTTTTTAATATTTTACCATGGTGAGGAGACTATTCAAATCAGTGAACACAATGAACAGTCACCTCAAACCTCAGTTTTTACTAATTGGCTCAGGAACCTGAGCAGAGGGTTTCCTCTGGTCCCTTTGTAAAATACGTAGCTGTGTTGATTTGTCTTTCAAATAACCTGTTACAACAGCATACACCTTGGAAAATTACAGACAACAGAGGACCTCTTTTGAGCAACAATACCCATGGATAAGAACTAAAGTAGGCCTCACCAGCTATTAGGCTATTGAGTCATGATATAATTAGTTCTATAGTAAGGAACCTACCTTCAAAACCAACAATTATATCATATTAAAATTACACCCTGTCACCTCCTAAATACTCTTATTTTTCCACAATTTAAACCTTTTTAAAGGTCTATATTTTTTTTATTTTTAGAAAAAGCAAAAGCTAATCCTGAATAACCAACAAATATAACAAGCACTTGAAATTACATGGCAACAGACAAGTGGGAGAAGGCATGCCATTAGAAATTCACTTCTTAAAGGATACTGTTAGGTACTACTGTAGCTCTTGTGTTGTGCACTTTTCCAAATGTCTTCCCTTAAGTTCAGAAGGTTAAGGCAAAGGTTCTTTAAAATATTTTCTTGCTGGGAGTTGGTGGGGCACACCTTTAATCTCAGCACTTGGGAGACAGAGGCAGAAGGATCTCTGTGAGTTCAAGGCCAGCCTGGTCTACAGAGCGAGTTCCAGGACAGGCTCCAATCCAACACAATACAGAGAAACCCTGCCTCAAAAAAAAAAAAATTCTTCTGTGAGGTGTGCTGTTGTATGCTTGTAATGGCAGTACTTGGAAGGCAGAGGCAATAGGTCACCCTCAACTCTAAATGAAGCTCCAGACCAGCCAGACTTGGGCTAAAGGGGTTTCTGACTTAAAATAAATAAATAAATAATTTTTAGGAACAGCAAATGTTTCACTGAGAAATTCTATGCATACTCTTTGAGAACTCATTGGTTCAGCCTTCAAGTTCCCAAGTGTACAACCTGGGGTATTCTTTCTATGCTTGTGACTAGAAAGATCTTTGAATTTCTTCATCACAGAGCTATCTGAACTCATCCATTTTCTTAAAAAAAAAAAAAAAAAAAAAATGACCCCTGAGCATCTGTAAGTCTACTTTGTGTAAATGGTTGTGTTTAGGGAACAATCTACTACCAAAGGCGCCAACGCAAATCTCTGTTACTTTGTGAGAATCTAATTCAGTCTTGTGAAAGTTGGCCCATCATCAACTTAGACAAATCTACAGCTCTATTTTCAGGACTTGATTTATGTTCATCCCACCAACACATTGAAAGAATATGTGAAAGGATACACCTTATCAAGTTTTTAAAAAAAAAAAAGTGTGGACATTTACAGCAAAAAGGCTATTTGCATGGAGAAGATCAAAATTTAGAGAAAAAAGAAGGAATTCATACACTGCATGTTTCCTCTACGTAAGCATTACACTAAATATCTGTTAGATTAGTCATGTTGCCTTGAGATTCTTCCATGTTTCCTCTAGACAACTGCCAATACTCGCATGGCCTCTGATGAATAAACATGCTGTGACTTGCTCCTAGGGAAACGCCTGTCATGTTCCAGGGAAAAATGACTTCTTCCCTCATAAACCAGGGGGGCTGGGGGGGGGAACCAAAAAACCTGAAGGACTCTCATTCATTGCTTACAGTCTCAACTGTTCCTTAACGTTCCTATTTCTGGAATTTTCATACTGTTTAGGGCATTTCCACGATCTGATTAACAAGAAAATTGAGATTAGAAGGTGTACCGACAGGATGCCTTCTTCTAGGACAGGGTTGTGTAGCTTGACCGAAGTTCTCCTCAACTCTTGCAGGACTACCTGTTCTCACTACTGTTTACCCGTTCTCACTACTGTTTACCCAAACGTTTAACAGTGATTTTTAGCATATTTGGCAGGAAGGCATGCTTCATTTAATATTAACTCACCATGTGACATCCCCTTCCCCTCCAATCGCGCCTCAGACACGTGACGATAAAAGGTATAGCTGTTTGCCAATGCGACTTTGCGCTCGATTTTGGCATCACCAATTGGGCAGAGGCACACACACACACCCCCAGTCAGAGGCAAGCACCCCGCCTGCTCCCGGAACTGTCAAGCCGGGCTGACAGCTGGCACACCTTGCAGCGCCCTCCGTGGACTTTCACAAAGCCCCTTCCTTGCAGTCACCTTGACAGTACTGGTCCGCCTGGGCCTGAGCGCTTGGCCAGTAAAACTTTTCCTTCCTTTCCCGGAGCGCACTTACAGGTGTCGTCCCCCGCTCCAGAGCCTCAACAAGGAACCCTTTGTTACCACTTTTGCTCCGGGACTCCTCACCCAACGCCTGGCATTCGCCTGGCCTTTAGCAACCCCGACCGGAAAGTCTGCCCAAACCACCGAACCCCCCACCCAGGAGACACCCGGGAGGACGCAATATTCCGCGGCGTGCGGCTCGGCCCAGGACCCAGGCGACCCGTGGGGAGCGCGCTGCGGGGCTGGTGAAGCGCACGCAGGAGGCCTCGGCGGCCGGGAGGGTGGTTCCCCTGCTTACCCTAAGGAGCCCGAGAACTGCGGGGCAGAGGTGCGGGGCGCGTTGCGGGGTCCGGGATCCGGAGCGCTGCGGTCCATCGCGAAGCTGGTTGCTGCGCGGGCTCGGGCTTGGAGGCGGCGCGTCACTGCTGGGGTGGGAGAGGCCGGAGGGTCAGGGCGGGAGCAAGCCGGCCGAGAGCCCGCCTCGACCCACTGCAGCCGGGGGCGGACCCGCCTCCCCGGGACGCTTCCACCTGCGGGCCGGTCCCCCGCCCGGGGGCGTCCGCCGCGAGGAAGGCCACGGGTCCCCGCCCCGGCTGCAACCCGCAGCCAGTTGGCGGCGAAGGGGCGGCGCGCGGCGGCCCCGACTGCGAAGGAGGAGGAGCGGGCTGGGCGCGGGACGGTCGCCACGCCCGCAGTTCTTGGGCTCTGGCGCCGGCCGCGCACTAACTGAACCCCGTGCAAACTTTTACCGAGGAGCTGGAGACCACAGCGCCCCCACTTTCCTAAGCCGCTTCCCGCTCTCCAGGGGACCCGGCCCGTCCAGTAGGCTCGCAGCTGGTCCGGAGGACCCCTCCTCCTCCGCAGGCCAGCTCGGACGCCCAGAACGAGCACGCGGCGGAAGGTGGCGGCAGTCCCCCGGTCGCCGTGCCCGCGTCCCCACTCACCCTGCCCCATGGCCCTGCCGGGAGCCCCGAGCTCGCCGCCGCCTCGGCCGCCTCGCCCAGCAGAAGTGAGGGTGACGAAGTCGGCATCGGAGCGAGCAGGGCAGCCAGCCGGAGAGGGGACGGGCAGGGCGGGCGGGCGGGCGGGCGGGGACGCAGAGCGAGGAGAAATTTCCTCCCCCTCCCACCCCCGCCCCGAGACACGCGGCTTTAGGGTACGGTACCGCCAGCGAGGCTGGAAGAGAGGAAACTCCTAGGCAGCGCTTTCTAGTCCCCACCGCCAGCGCGTCGCTGGGGGAAGCCCGGTGAACCCATGAGGGACAAGGAGAGTACCTGGCTTGCAAAGCCGGAGGGAGGACCGTCTGGTCGCGGAAGTGCAGAGAGCTGGCGGACTGAGTCCTACCTGCAGGCTGACCTTCTAAGTGCAGGATTTTTTTTTTAACCTTACTGACCCCTGCGGTTGCTAGCCTGTAAATGGCACCTCTGACACTATGATCTTTCTAATCGGTGGCAAGTTTAAGCTTGTTCTGTCTTCTCAGGCATGCTTCTCGTGATGTGAACATCCCAACAGCTGTGATTTAAGGACTGGACGTTCTCATGATGACAGTCTGTAAGCTAAGAAAAAACTATACGTAGAGTTAGTGGCATCTTGGAAGTTTTACAGGAATAAAGGAATCCCAGACAGTGCTTGCTTGTTTGTAGTTTCAGTTCCTGAAAGCCTGCTCTTCAAAGGCATCGTCCCACCTGACAAACAGGTACTTTTGCATATCCTCTCTTCATTCTTAGAAGCTTGTCATTTATTTAATGTAAACCATATTGATGAATTCAAACGCTAACGTCAGAAAATAATGTTAACATTAAAAAAAACTGGATACCTTCAGTGACAAGAACATGCTGTGAGATAACAGAAAGGATTCAGACTGTTGGTACACATTAAAATTAAATTGGTGTTTATAACCCGTGTTTAATTAAAGGTTCTTCAGTTGCTCATTCATTGCAACCAACCACCACAAACGAATTCTGTAATTAAAAGCAACAATTCCCCAGTATTTAGCATTTTGCCTGCTATGGGTAGTCTTTAGTCTCCCTTGCTGTATAGAATAAAGACTCAGTACATTCCTGAATATGAATGGAGGCCAGGATGAGGCAACTTCTGTGGATTACTCCATTAGAACCATATCATTAAAAGTTGCTTTTAAATATTTTGACTAATACTGAGGCAACTGATTGAACTGGATCTGAGTTTTAGGCTTTAAACAATAACACAGGTTCGACGAGTTCCTGAACCTTTTCTGAGTCCTGAGTCTAAATGAATAATAGATTTACAGCAGTTGCTTAGACAGGCTGTAAGTAGTGAGTAACATTGAAACCACTTAGAAGTTTATCGAGTTGAGTCACAGGATCAATCACTTCATTAGTTTCAACCTGAAGTTAGAGCCCACTGCTAACATTATTGAATCCCAGGTAGGCTGATCTTAAACATACTTTCACAACATTTTGTTAACTGCTGAGAGCAACTCGCATGACACCATGCCATCCTTTTGTTCTTGAGGATAGGGCAAAGCCATACTTTCCATGCACTGAAGCTGAATCCATCCAAATGGCTCACTTGCACAAGTGAAATGTTTTATTTTCTTGTAGATTACATCAGCAGGAGTACTGACTGTCCATAGCCTTCAGTGATATTGTAATCCTGCAGAGATGTATTAAGAAAGAGGTGACACAAAGCTGAGGGGCCCTAAAATCTTAAGCCATTAATTACTCTAAGAACAGCTTGGAGAGGCCCAGAATTTACAACAGATTCCCCCCAAAGCTCTAGTCTGTTTGGGGATTAAGTCACTAAAAATATGTGCAGCAGCTCTTAGAAACAAGACTATACTTCATGTTCTTTTTTACTACTATCCATGATTTAATCTTGTAATTGCATAACTTACCAGCAAAATAGTAATCATAGTTGCTAGAAACCTTTTCCATAATGCTGGGAAATGGCCCCTTCCCAGTCCCTCTGAAGAGCTATTCAAGTCTGTCCAGATGTTGCTCAATTTCCCTGATAGGAAATCTTACCCCTTGTTCCATACAATCATTTTTAATGCATGCTCTCAGGTATTAGCACTTCAGAAAGGCTTTGCAGACTGCCCAGGTAGAAATAGCCCACTCTTCTTAGCCCTGGGAGACTGGAAGGTGGACCGAAGCTGACATGCTCCTTTCAGTTAGCTTTTCATTGTTGTGACCAAACTACCTGATGAAAACAGAAGGAAATTTTATTTCAGCTCACAGTTTACAGATTTAGAGCTGTCCATTCATCATGTCAGGGAAGGTGTGATGAAAAACAGCAGCTCATGCCAGGGTGGCCAGGACAAGGAGAAAAGGCATATGCCATCACTTTGGTCATGGTGTTTCATCAAATCAGTAGAAACCCTAACTAAGACAAATTGGTACCAGTGTATTGACATATTGCTGTAACAGACCTGACCGTGTTTTGTGAAGGATTATGGAAGGACTTTGAACTTTGGGCTAAAAAACGCCATTGAGTATTGAGACCTCAGTGGGATGTTCTGGGGGGGGGGGGGACGACTTGGGAGATAAGAATGTTAAGAACAGTGCAGGAGATGGAGGTCTGGCTTGCAAACTTTCCGGGGTGTTCAAAGACTCTACCAGGGCCATTGGTTATTTTGAATTTCAATCCCATGGTTCTGGTTAGCTGGGGCTGAAGAACCAGCTGTGATTAACAAGATACCAGAACTACTGAAGTGAAACCTTCACTTTACTGGGACAATTGATGCTGGTTGGCTGGATCTAAGAAATTAGCAGTGATTAAGAGGAGACCAGCATCACTGAGGTGAAATCTTCTGGGATGTGTTTGCTAAAAGCTCAGAGAAGCTGTGTTCCAGAGGTGGCCAAGGTTGTACCTCATGCTGGCAGCCAGCTGGACCTGGTAATATATAATCTTCACCCAGGTGGAACTGGTTTTGAAAGCACGAAGGGGTCATAGATAGCAGCTGAGACTTGGCACTGTGAGAGGCCATGAAAGACCATTGGTGAATGTGCAGCCTCAGTGGCAGTTGAAGGCCCAGAACTAACAAGGTCATGCAAAAAAAGTTGAAGCTTGGCACTGTGATGAGAGCCTAATAGAGGCTATTGGTGAAAGTGCTGCCCAGTTGCAGCAAGGGACCCCAGCATTTTGGAGATGCCAGTACCGTGTGATGACCACCAAGAACAGCAGTAGCAGTGGATTGGAGTCAGCTGGAGCCTAGATTATGAGTTGTGTGTGCTGCAGAGGGCAGAGCTGGAGAAGTGACCCAAACCCTTCAGAGGAATCCGGATGATCCTGAGTAAATCCCAGATAATTTGACATTGAGTTCTTTATACTGTACGAGTTTGGTTTTGCTTGGTTGCCATTGTGAGAGTACCCTGCTTCTTCCCTTTTGAAGAAGATACTTAATTTTGATTTTTAAAGGAGCCCACAGAGGAAAGAGTTTTAACTTTTAAAAAAGAGATTGGGCATTTTAAGAGAGTGAAATTTTAATGTGTTTGAATTGGTAATTACTGAGAGACTTTTTAAAGTATTTGATTTTAATATGAGATCTTGGGGATAAATAAGAAAGGCAAGGATGTGGTTAATACTGGTGTACTAGTGTGTCAAGTTGACAAGGGGTCAATTGTACTGGCTGATTCTATCTGTCAACTTGACACAAGCTAGAATCATCAGTCAGCCTCAGTTGAGGAAATGTTGGCTCCATGAGATCCGACTGTAAAGCATTTTCTCATTTAGTGATCAATGTGGAAGTGCTCACTCATGGTGGGTGGTGCCATCCCTGGGATGTTGGTCCTGGATTCTATAAGAAGGTGGATTGAGCAAGCCAGGAGAAGCAAGCAAGAAAGCAGCATCCTTCATGGCATCTGCATCGGTTTCTGCCTTCCAGGATCCTGCCCTTCAGTGATGAACAGCAATGCTGAACTGTAAGTGAAATAAACCCTTTGCTCCCCAACTTGCATTTTGGTCATGGTGTTTCATCGAAGCAATCAAAACCCTAACTAAGACATTGGTGAACCAATGAGTTTTGTTGGGGTTTTTTACAGGAGCAGAAATGACTCAAAGACAGCTACATCACCAAAGCCCATCCCAGCACTGGTAACAGCTCACAAAGCTAGGAACCTGGAACATACTGCTCAGCCTCCAGGCAGCTCAACAAGTTGGAGGGTGTCCATTCCAGGTGCCTCCATAGGTCTAACCCTCCTCCAGGTAGCCTGGCTGGTTTATGCTTCTCTTATGCAGCTGGTCTGGTCTGTCTTCACGTCTTTTTTCCTCTAAGAGCCTTCTTTGAAGCTCAGCTGGTCTGAGTCTTTTTGGATCACCTGTCATAACTTGATCTGAAAGGAACTCTGCTTTCATTGCTTATGCTGACAGGGAAAGGCCTAGTGAATCTGGTCAGCTATCTTGAGTTGTTTACCTCTCTGTTTAAGGAGTTTTCCTGCAGGATGGAATGTCTCTGAAGAAACTGTTACACGGCCTTCCTAAAAAGAAGGAGTCTAAGAAGAAAAGTTTAGATCAGAAGCCCTGGCTGATCACTGAAAACAAGAGATGGAAAGTGAGTTGGCCCTAGTAAGAAGGAAGCATTGGTTCTCTTAGGAGGTGGGGT